TGGGCGCCGGGACCCGGCAGGGGCCGCCACCTGCCGCGTGCGACCTTGGGCGTGGCCTTCTCTGTCGGGGGGGGCCACCCGGTGAGGCCCCCCCCACCCCGCTTGCGGAGGTGTCGGTCAAGGCCAAGCCGGGCGCCGCCTCGCGCCCCCCCATCCTTCCGCCCTGGCCCTGCCCGCGGGGAGGTCGGGCTCCTGGGGGGCCCCTAGGTCGCGTCCCCCTCCCTCGAGTCCTGGCTCCCCGCCTGGGACTGCTTTCTGTGGCTGTTCGCTGAGTTCCCCCCCCCCACCGTGTGCTTAGCGTTTGGGGAGGACTTGGATGTCCGGGAAGAGCGTGAGACCGGTGGGAGTGGGTGGTAGGATGTTGCCGGCTGCCCTGGGCAGGGGTGGCCCACGGAATTGTCGGGGATCGAAGGGAGAGGGGAGAGCTAGGGGCTGGGGGCGGATCAGGGGAGAGCATGGCGGTCTTGGAGGAGGGTAGCTCATTCTCGCATTCAGCAGGCATTGATTAAACACCCGCTGTGTACTGAAACGGTGGGAATAGAGGCCAGCTCCCAGGGGAGGGGGAGCTTGGCAAGAAAGAGTTTTAGTTTGGTATGGCAAGTGCTGTGTTAGGGTGAGTACAAGATCCTTTGGGAGCATCGGGGAGGGTCTCCAAGCCCGGACTAGTGATGGTTAAGCTGATACCAGAAGGATGAGTAGGGACTGACCAGGTAAAGAGCGGGAGAAACATATCCCAGGACATCATTTCTCTTAAGACCATGGGCTGCCTCCCCCCAGCAACCATGTCTGCTTGGTCGTCGTGATTTATACTCTTGATGGGTATAAAGAGCAGTGGATTAGAGTCCAAAGAACAGGATTTTAGATCCGAATAAGTCACCTGGCCTTGCTGAACTTGAGCTTCCTCTTCTGTGAAATTCCACATGGAGCCCTGCCTACCTCGCAGGTTTATTATGGGCATCCCATGAAACAGGGCAGGGAGAAGTGTGTTGGGGCTAGGAAGTGCAATGCAGATGTTGGGAATTATTATGGTTACAGGATGCAGATGTCAGAGCACGAGGGGAGTGGGCCGGAGGTGAGCCCTAGTGCGATGCCCGAGGTGCCCCTGGAATCTCCACCTGCTCCTACTAAGTCGCCAGCGTTTGATCTCTTCAACTTGGTTCTCTCCTACAAGAGGCTGGAGGTCTACCTGGAACCCCTGAAAGATGCAGGTGATGGTGTTCGCTACTTGCTCAGGTATGGACTTTGTGGAGTTGCTCTGGTCTGCCGTGCCTTCTGCCTTTCTGCTCTGTGGTAACTCCGACCACTATGCAGTGGCTGGGCTGTCCTTCCTGTTCTGGCGAGGAGAATTTCAGCCGCTGGGCTTACCCAGGCCTTCCTGGTGTCTCAGGCCCAGCCCAGGGAAGGCAGGAATGGGCCCATCTGGCCTGTGACTGAAGAAACTCTCCTGTAGGACTGCTCTACAGCCTTGGATGTCAGGCCTTCTCCAGCTTAGAGCAGACTTCATTTATTTCTTCTCTCCCTGCATAATTAATGTCAAAATTATAGCACAGAGGAGGGATCAGCAGTTGATCCACACTGCTGGGGGACGAGGGAGGGGGCACATAGCATCCCAAGGGGTTTCTGGTCCTAAACCAGGACAAGTGAGGGCCAGTGGAAGGTCCACACTTCACCTGCACGCAGCCTGCTTGTGTAACTAATCCTGACTTGTATCCCACATACTTATAATAAAAAAAGAAAAAATGAAAAACAGGATATAATTTTGAGCAAAAGTTAAAGAAATAGAAATACCTATGAATAAGCAGGTACTGCCGTTTACACTAATCCTTGGGATTGTGGATTTCAGTTTTTTTCTCCTATTCTGCTTTGATTTTAATCCTCCATAAATTTATATTTTTTCCTTTCAGTTCACTTTACTTTTTATGTTAAAAGTATTTTAAGCCGGGCTCGGTGGCTCAGCTTGTAATCCCGCACCTTTGGGAGGCTGAGGTGAGTGTATTGACTGAGCCCGCGGGTTCGAGACCCGCCTGGGACTTTTGGACATAACTCACCCCTCCGGTTGAGAAAAAAAGAAATAGGGCCCGGAAGCGCACGCCTGTATTTCCAGGAACTTGCCTTTTCATAGGAAAACTGATCACCGGAGAACAAGACGACAAGGCTACGATTTTCTAGCAGAATTCTACAAAACATAAAATGAGGAACTGATGCCAATTCTATTGAAAGTATTCCAGTCAATTGAAAGAGATGGA